TGGACCACGGCACCCTCCACACACCTTCAGCAAAACCCCTTTTACCAGCCTTGGTGCTTCTGGAAACTGGCAGGCAGAGCTTCCAGGAACCTGGGGGACTTTTCACTCCTGGAGGGATTAAAGATTCTGTTTGCTTCTGGGTTCACACCAAGGAAGGCACCTACCTGTCGGGCTGAGGTAGCTACCTCCTTCCCACCCACAGTTAGTCCGTGGTGTGATCCCGGGATGTGATGTGGTTCTAGGTGTCCCCAAATATTCTTAACCATCCTGTGTCACACACGGGAAACCCATTCCCCAACACACACACACACACACACACACACACACACGCCTCACCCCATCTCTCACTACAATCCTATACCAGAAATTCTGCCCCGTCCTACCTGGGCAGGGCTGACCTGGCTCTGTCCTCTATAGAGTCCTACAGGCCAAAACCCAGAAGGGGAAGGAGAAGGGAGAAATAGAGCCATGGAGAAAAAGTGAAGTCAGAGTCTGGGTTTTATTTTAGCTAACCACTGATTCATGCTAATGTGCTAACCCACAATCACAGGTTTGAATAGCAAGAAAGCATTTTTTTTTTTTAATTCTGGAGTTTAATTCCATATCCTAAACTCATATCCTGGGTGATGTGAAGGAAAAAAATAGTTGCACAGTAACTTTCAGGCAAACTCGGTCTTATTCAGTACCTCAGTCCCTTCATTCCAGGTTTAAAATTCAGTCTCTGAATTTTCCTTCCTTTCCGTCTCCCTTCTCTCCCTCCTAAGTAGCTGGGGTGACAGGCACCTCCGTGCTGGGCTCTGATCTGCTTCTTTTTGAGGCCCTCGGGAGATCCCATGCAGCAATGTCACACTCTGTAACCTTCTGGGTTCCAGTGTTCCCATATAATTGTGGGTGCAATTATATTAGCAAGATTGTGGGCCACCAAAGTTTTATAGAGGACAGACTAGGTGCAGGTCCTCTTGGCTCTGGAATTTCCAAATCCATCTGGATGTCCATCATTGTTAATCTCTTCTTTTCTACAGCAGCCTGGACTCAGCTCCATGGTGGTGGCAGGGAGCACACACATCAATGACTAAGTTCTCTTCCTGCCTTTTTAGCAATTTTCCTCCTCCCCCAGTTCCAAGGTGGATATCTGGGGTGGGAGGGATGTAAAAGGTGATGGAGATGTTTAGGGACAGCGACAGGACAAGCCTGCTACTGGCAGACGACAACTCCTTTCAAAAGTTTTCTTAGACCTCTCTTCGTTTGAGCTCAGTAGTCAAGGTATTTGTAGGGTACGCTTCCTTGTTTCTCAGTAATCTGCTTCTCCCAACGCAGGGAATAACTTGCGTCTAGTTGTCTGGGCTGGCAAGAGAAACCGGCATAGAACTTGATGGGCAAAGGCTTGTGGGAGGGAGGGAAGAGCATCCATTACATCGTTGTTTCTCATGCTGCCTGGAGGAGGGGGCAGATTTCCTGCCCTATTCTGTTTTTCCATGATGGTGGGTAGCTTACCAGATCATGTTCTGGTACATGTTCCCAGTGGCATCCAAAACCGTTTTAGCTGACTGTGTCAGACACACATGCCATGGGCACAGATACACACAGATATATACACCACATACCCCCACATACCCAAAGCCCACCTATCCCACGGATCCAGCTAAGGGACAGGGGAAAGTGAACTGTAGAAGCCAGGAAGTTAAAGTCTTGTGACCTATTTAGAGCTCAGCGACACACTGGTAGCGTGATTGAAGTCACTAGCTTCCCCTTCCACACTGCTGTGGTTTTCCTACCTGGAACCTGGTGGCCCTGTATCCAGCCCTGGGGGACGAGGGACCAGCCAAGAGGGTTCAACTGCCCAACTTGATAATGACATCCCTGGTGGTGATCATGCTTTCCAAAAATTGGATCTCTTTGTCTGTTCAAACCACCCTTCCTCTTTTTAAAGTAACAATAGAGAAAACATATAAGAAGAGTAGCTTCTCATTTGCTTTGCATGACTCTGGGAGCTGGCCTGAGTCAGTGTGCCGGGAGGTGCAGAGAGACGGGTCTGGGGTCAGCACACGGGTGTCCTGATCGTAGTTCTGCCTCTAACTTGCTGAGTGACCTTTGCCAAGTCCCTTCCTGCTTTAGGTCTGCAGGCTTTTCACGTATTAAAATGAGAGAATAGGGTCAAATGGTTCCCTTCTAGTTTTAGGAGTCTGTGTTTTCATTGAGCACTGTATTAGTTTCTTGTGGCTGTTGTAACAAATGATTATGACTTTAGTGACTTAAGTCTACAAAAACATATTCTCCCTTAGTCTTGGAGGCTTGAAATCTGAAATCAAAGTGTCAACAGGGCCACCATGGAGGTTCTAGGGGACAATTCTTTCCTTGCTTCTTCTAGTTTCTAGCTACTGCTGGCATTCCTTATGATCTTTGTTATGTAGCTGCACCACACCAATGTCTGCCTTCATGGTCACATTGCCTTCTGTGAGTCTTTGATATATTTTTGCCTCTCTCTTATGAAGATACTCATGATGACATGAGTAATATAATAATATTATATTATCTGATGATATAATATTATATTATCTGATAATCCAGGATGATGTTCTCATCTCGAGATCCTGAACTTAATCGCATCTACAAAGACACTTTTTCTCAGTCAGTACACATTTTCAGATTCCTGGGATTAGGATGTAGATGCTACAGTCTGGGGAAAGGAGATAAATTTTCAGCCTACCAAAAGCATCTATTCTGATCACAACCAATTAAAAGTCCAGGGAGATTAGAGACATGCAGGAGTGTGCATCCTTGTACCCAAGTTCACTTAGTCTAGCAGAGGATCATCACTCGCATACAACACTATGAGGGAGTCCCAGTAACCAGGTGGCAGCCAGCATGCACAGGCTGCACAGCCTTGTGGAAAGGGTCTGGGCTCTGCACCTAGGCTGCCTGGTTCACATCCAAGCTCTGCCATCTGCGAGCCATGGACCTTGGGCCTAATTATCCTAACTCCATAAGGATGTTATAAAGATTAGGTATAATATGCACAGGGGTGGGAATTTAACTGGTGCTTATGATTCAACATCCAATAAATAGGACAGCATAGGCTTCCAGAACTGAGAGTGATTCCCCAGTGAATGATGAGGATTAGAGGGCAGAGAAGTGCAATGACTTGCCCAGCATGCATGGGGAGGGAATGGCATAGATGGCTCTATAACCAAGATCTTCCAGCATTGGACATTTTCCTCCACTTCCCAAAGCCCTTGCTCTTAGGTAGAATCTTTTGTGCTAAGGTTTCAACAGATAGTAGGGGATTTCCATTTACACTATCCAGAGAAGACTAGAGAGGGCCAAGCTCCCAGACACACACAGATGCAGCCCTCAGGCTGTCATGATTAACTTGTTGCTTGAAGACCATGGATGGACCCTATCACCAACAGAGGAGGGGAGCCCCCAGCCCACAGCCCTTCTCCTCTCTCCACTGTCCATCTGGCCTGCCTCTGTTTGAATGGTTCTTATGAGTGTGGCTTTTGCCAGTCAAATGAGATAAGAATGAACAGATGAAATGCTGTTTGCTACCAGTTCTCTGCTCCTATCTGCGGGTCTTTAGTTGGGTCAATGTTTAACCCTTGTCTGGAGTCAATGTTTAATCCAGGGCCAGTCAGCCCTGTAATCCAGCAGTCCCTCTGCAGCCTAGAATATGGAGTCACATTAGTATTAATCACTGAAAAATAGCATGTGACAGAGAATCTGCCCAAGCCTCAAATAACATCCTCTCTACCATTTTAGAAGATATTGGCTGCTTAGAATTAGAATACCACAGTGGCCACCTACTCCTGTCAACAGATAGTTGTAGAGTATTTCCTGACCCTTGCTGTGCATGGGCAGAAGCACAGCATTTATTCTTCTTATTCCAGTTCTGCCTTTTGGGTTGGGGGAGAAGAGCATGGAAGGGGGACTGTTGTTCTTCCTGCTGGCTAGCAAGTGTGGCCACTGCTTGGAAGCCTGCTGGGAGAGCCAGGGCTGGACTAGTCTAGCAGGTTTGGCTTGGGCAAGTGTTTTGAGAGTTTCTGAACCTGGACTTATGCTTGAAGGCCCCAACCTTTTCCCAGAATGAGTCTTTCTGTTTTGGAGCAGGTGCAGGATGGAGGAGAACTATTTATAAAAAGACTCTCTACAGGCCTGACTACTGGGTGATAGATAGTAGAGTGGCTTTCCAGGGTCATTCCTTAGGAGCTCAGGGTACGACATCTACAATCTGGTAGAATCTTGCCCCTGAGAGAATAATCAAAGGATGGCAAACTGGGTGGGGTGCAGGGAGAGGGTGAAAGAAGCGAAGAAGGCTATTGGCAGGTTAGTGACTCCAATCTTTGAATAGTGTTGGACCTACTGGTCAAACACATGCAAGTGAAACTCTGATCTTTTCTTTCTCCCAAATGAATGTCCGGATCACCTCCTTTTCCTTGACTGCTCGCTATGTCACTGCCCAGATGTTTAGTCCCTCAATTATTTTCCTAGCTCAGTTGACTCCCAACCAGAGAGTGGAAACAATACTCCTTCTGGGGCCTGTAGGGTGGAAGGGTTGTCAGTACCCTTTCTCATTCTGACTGGAAGAGGGGTGAAAGCAAAGGCTTGTGCCCCGGGGACTGGGTCCATCTTGCCCTGAGGAGGTTGTGATGGCCCAGGAAGCAGCAAAGCTGAGCACCGAAAAGCCTAGAAATGGAAAGTTGGCTGTGGCCCAGAAGATCTCTTGGTTCCCCTTTGGGGTTGGTTGCTGAGTTCCAAGGAACCTTTATTCTCTGGTTCTGAGTGGCAGGGACAAATGAGCAAACGTCTTCTGAAGTTAACAAACCACTCTCCTGCCCTTTCTGACCTCCACACCCTGGCTAGGGAGGAGCAGAAGGAGGAAAAAATTTTTGGAGTAGACATCCAAAGTCAATAGGTAAGTGTCAGGTAACAGGGCCCAGCCTCTCTCATAAGCCACTGGAGTCCCCCCCAAAAGGCTGACTGTTTCCTTGTTCCTGGTCTGAGTCTGGCCTTCAGCCCAAGGTCTGCCTGGCAGGTAGCCACTGTAAAACTGTCCATGTTATCCCCTGCAGCCTGTGCCCATCTAACAAGCCTTAGTGTTTCCATCTGTAGACGGACCCTTTCTTCCTGGTGATATATACTGCAAGTAACTTCGACTTGTCTGTACTACACTGGTGGTGGTGGGTGAGGAGAGAGCTGGCCAATGGAAAGTCCAGTCCAGTTGCATTTGCTAAGCGGACAGCCCTTCCCATGCCAGGCCCTAAAGAAGCAAACTCTTTGATGCCCTATTTCTGAACTCTTGTCACAAGTGAATTGCAACATCTTTATGGCAACTTGGAAAACACTTTGGACTTGGTAGCCCTGGTTTTCTCCCTCCTCTCTAAAATACTCAGGGTTGGGGAGGTAGGAATTTGAAATTCAGGGAGAGAAGTGGCCTTTGTTTGACCTCCATGCTGAGAGCAGAACTGGTGGTTCTAGACACAGCAGGCAAATACATGGGGAGTGAAAACTAGGCCAGAGGTTGAAAAAGGCAGAACATAAAAATAGAGTCCAGATCCTAATCGGTGAACGTGTGTCTTTAGTGGGACCAGGAGGCAAACGGTGGCCGCTGGCCGGGTGACTCACTACTGGAAGTTCCACATGCCTCCAGAGGTCTAGGTGGGGTTCTGTGGGGCTGGCACGTCTCTGTGGTCCACCTCGGTTTCAGCTGGCCCTGTGAAGAGTGGCAATGGGTGAAAGCACATATTCTTGCAGTCAGTGAAGGGAGCAGGCTGCCCTGGGAGGGCGGTGCCTATAAACCACGTTGTGTCACTTAATGAAGAATGGATAGCAGGGTGACCAGAGAAAGTCCACTTCCTTCAGTGCGGTCTCCGTTCTCCAGTCCACGTTTGTCAAGTTCTCGTCTCTGTGTCTGTGCACCAAAGGGACATAACCAAATATGCTGTGTCTACTTGGTTGAAGTGCGTGATAGATCTTTCTGTGACGGCACCTTCTTCTCTGTGTGACCGAGGCTGCTGGTGAGCAGATTCTGCTTTTCTCAGACCATACTGGCCATTGGAGGAGGAGAAGCATCCCCCAAAGTGTCAGCAGAGGACAGTGAGAAGTTGGCTTAGGGTCAAGCATTTGCCTTGAGTAACCTTAGATGGATACTCCTATGGATCATTTCAGATCTGAGTTCTACTCGTAGAAATGCCAGCAAGCACCCCAGGGCTGGTGCCTGAATTTTTAGCTCTCAGGACTTTTTTTTTTTTTTTTTTATGCTTCAGTAGGCCAGGACAAGAATAAGCTACTTAATGAGGAAAGAGAACAAATTACCGGAAAGGATTGTGCAAGCTAAAAGAGAGAAGCAAGCCTTTGGAACTCTAAGCAGGAAGAGACCTGAGCAGTTGAACAGTCTGTAAATTCAAATGAGGAGAAAGGCAGATGGCACAGCAATCAAGGAGGAATGGAGGTAGACCTTGTGTTCAAGTTTCAGCTTGCCCTTTCCCTGGTAGTGTAACTATTTAATTTTTCTGGGCCTCAGTTTTCTCATCTGTAAAATGGGAACCAACACACCTTCCTTTCAGAAATGTCACATCAAATGTGACAGAAGGTGCTGTGTGGAGACACAGGAACGAGCAGCAGCAGAGCTAATAAGCAGGAGGAAGGGAGTGTTAGAGAGCTGTGCCTTGACCCAGGAAGCTGCTTGATCCTATGACAATCAGTGGCTTTCCTGAACTCTGTACTAGATATCCATATAGAGGTCTCCCTGATTATAGCCCAGTGGTTTCCCTGCCCCTTGTCTCAGTGGTGAGGACATTGTGCTACCAGGGAGATAATAGGAAATAAAAAGATAAAATCTCTGACCTTATACCTAGTGGTATAGCTGGCTTGCTCTGTGTATTCTGTTTCAAGCCCTTTAAGAGAAACTCCTGACCCAGCCGCTCATCAGTTGAGCTATAAAGGAGAGCTGTGAACACTCGGGGCTACCCCGCTTCCTTCCCTCTATACTGTCCTCATATCTTATCTCTGTCTCCTCAAAACTCCTGGCCCTGACATTAACCTTGGCTCTGCACTGGCTCTTTCTTTGAGCTTGTACTGGCACCTTCCCCTGGTGCATCTCAGCTCTCTAGAACACTCTTACTCCTGGACACTCTCCTGGCTCCAGTCACTTGCCCAACTCACTGGCTGGACGGGTCCCCTCCTGCCCCGAAGATAGGTAGCCGAACAGGACATTCTAGCTGCTCAATTCCAGAGAGAAAGTACCAAAGCTGTTCAGAGGAAGGAAGGAGAGGGTGGCCAGGAAGCTCTTCATGAGGATCAGATCAGAGAGAGGCCAGGAGAGTCTCGGGTGATTTAATGGCTTGTGCAGGGGTTGGCATATTAGTTCAAAGGCCAAATGCAGTCTGCCTTCTGTTTCTGTGAATAGGTTTCGTAGGAACCTAGCTATGGTCATTGGCTTCTGTGTTGCCTCTGGCTGCTTTTGTGCTACTCAGGAAGAACTGAGCGGCTGCCACAGGGACTGCAGAGCCTGTAAAGGCTAAAATATTTAATGTCTGGTGTTTTTTTTGTTTTTACAGAAAAAGTCAACGGACCCCTGGTTCAGTGCTCTGGTCTTCCCTACAAGTGATCTGAGGAAGTCCAGTTCGGTGAGACTGCTTCTCTGAACAAGAGTCCAACACACATAATGTCCCACCCTCAAAACTATTTGCAATGTGTAAATAAGGTATACAAAAGGCTCTGAGAATTCCTGCATAAAAGAATCTGTTGTTCTTTAACTTAATATTTCCCAAACTTCTTTGAACTGCTAAATCTTTTCCTTAGCACCTCTTAACATCCCGAGAAGCTGGTGTTCTGTGGCTGCCCCCAGAAAATGCTGTTTAGATATAAAGAACAGCCTGACTTCTTGACCCATCCCTGCCACCAATGAGTCAGGTGGCCTTGGCTGAATGATGCACCTGTCAGGGCCTGCTTTCTCACTGATTGAAGGGAATGATGGTGTCTGTCCTGTCTCTCTTATAGGTTCTTCAGGTAGGTCCCCAAGATAGCAGGCATGAAAGGTATAGAGGGATGACTGTGGTCTTTGGGTAACTAGTTTTCTTTCTTCTATCACTTAGCAATGGGGAAAAGGCACTAGGCCAAGGGCACGAGTTCTCTACTAGTCCTCACTTTGCTATCTATCACAAGATGGGTTCACTGAGTGACTTGAAACAGGTGACTCCGTGACCAGGCCTCAGTTTCCTCACTTCTAAGCTGAGGGGTTTAGACTAAATCTTTAAGGATTTATTAGCTTGGAAATTCTATGGTTCTATTCGGTTAAATGCCTGAACTTGCTACTTCTCTCTCACAAACCATGAAAACTGCATCTCTTTGGTTTCCTTGGTCCTGGACCAGGTATGAGGAGGTACTGCTGAGGGATTTCTGATGCTGCTGACAGTTTAGGAGGCAGAGCCTTCTGAAAATGTCTACTTGACAGTTCTCAACTTGATGTTGCTAGCGCATGAGGGGCAGGAAAAGAGCAGATGCGATTCCTAAAAAGACAGTGGGATCCAGGGTGGAGCAAAAGTTCCCCAACAGACAAGAGGTAACATGGTCATCAGGCGGAATCCACATAAAATTCCTCTTTCGTCTCCTACCCTGTCCCCCAACACCATTTTCCAGCTTTGCCAATAGTCTGTGATATCAAGGATTTATAAGAAGTTGAACAAGAGGAGCTTTATAAAGATAAAAATTTACTAAAAAATACTTTCTTCCTCCATGAATTTAGGAAATTCCAGAAAGTCTTGGCTGAGTGAGAAGATCCATGACATAATGAGAATGGACCCAAAGAAAGGCTGTGAGTGGAGGGGTGGATTTTCTTCCCTTTGGTCTCCTTGTAGAAACTACCTACCAATAGGGACATTTAGGGGACTCCCAAATGAAGTGATGGAGACACAGGGAGATTTAGGGTGCTGGCCTGGGTGTCTCCTCAGAGGCCACCTAGTCCCTCTCTTCCCTCAGCCAGTCACAGATATTTATGGGGGAGCCCACCGAGTTGGAAATTCTCTTGGGACATAGATGGATAAAACACAGTTACTGCCATAAAGCAGTTTAGACTGGGCATGAACAGACAGGACCTGGCATGCTTGAGTAGGCTTCAATGTGAACAGCAGACTTCATACTAACAGACAAGGGGGCACCCAGAGAGGGCTGGGGTGATGGTAGAGAAGTTGTCATCCTCCAGATTGGTTGGAAGCCTCTTACATTTTTAAACATGCAGGAGTTGGAATTCCACAGTTTTCCTAGGTGACCTCTTCCAGTGTCTAATAGGTCCTTTCTTGAAGCCTTCCTTGAGTCATTCGGCTACCTTTGGCTGTGGAGAAGGCTTCACCTTCTAGGCCTGAGACAGTCAGCTGCTGCTTCCCCAGGTGGACACGAGGGACTAAGGTCATGGACATGCTTGGTCTTGGTCCTCCTTCCATGGCACTGAGCCATTTATTTTTCCATTCCTGAGAGCCCTGGGTTCCTTTCTGGGGCCGTCGGATCTGCTTGGGTAGGAGAGTCACCCTGCAGTGTCTTTCTCTCCTCATGAGACAGATGAGCTGGTGAAAGGGTTGACTCCAGGAAATGTGTCATCTGAATCAGGGTGACCCTGGGTGTTTTTTCTGCCTCCTGAGCTGCAAAGACACAGAGCAGGCTGTGAGGATTCTGGAGTGACCGACACTGAATTAATTGGATTCCTCACGGACCTTCTCAACCCACTACAAGTTTCTAAGAACTTCCCAAAACTTAGCAACTGAATTCCTTAGGACAACAGAAATTAGGCCAAGCCTTTGGGGGCCTGGCTTTGAGAATTTCAGCCTCCCTCCTTGCTCCCAGAAAATCTCACCCTTTCTTCACCAGGTCTGCACACCCAAAACACTTCCTTTAGGAGTATTTAAACTTGGCACATGGCAGTGAGAATATCCGTAGGCCAGGCAGGAGGGTGGACATGCAGTTTGGCCCATGGCTGGGCCCTGTACTCCTGCCCTCTGCCCTTGGGGTTGCTTATGCCTCTGTTAGCAGAGGTCCTGCCAATCTTCAAAGAGCTTCTCCTTGGGCTCTGTGATGCCGCAGTTGATTCAAACTAGAATTTAGCTCTACATCCAAAAGTCCTGGCTACGACTCTAAACTGACCCAGGTCTGAGGTTATGTGGGAGGGGAGACAGGGACCAGTACCCTCTACCTAGCTTCAGGGCCACTCAACTCAACTTACATGGTCCATTTCCTTGGAGCTTCCTTTGCAATAGGACCAGAGCCACAATCAGAAATGGGGCTAGCACAGTGCAGACTGGAGTCAGGATCTGAAAGCTGCTCTCCACCTCTGGAAAAGCACTGGAGGGGATGGGAAGAGGACAAGAGAGGAGAGGTTAGAGAGGACAGAGGGTTAAAGGGCCCACGCCCCTCATTTTACAGATAGAGAAAACAAGGCTGGCTGGTGGGCCCAGTTCCCATGGCTGGTTAGGAGCAGAGATGGGGTTGCTGCCTTTAAGTCTCAAACCCCAAATCCTTTGCCGAATTCCACCCTCCTGTGTGTGGCTGCACTGTGTTCCCTAGTGAGAAATGGGGCAATTGGGAGGAAGGACTCTGGGCTTGGCATTTGGCTCTGCCACAATCTTTCCTTGTGGCTTCGGCAAGTCACTTCCCCTCTCTGGAACTCCTGTTCCTCATCTTAAAAAAAAAAAAAAGTTCTAGAAGTTTCCAACCTAAACATTTGATAGAATGTTCTAACATTTAGATTTTGCCTGCAAGCCATGGGAACATATTCAGGTAGCCCCTCACCAGGGTCTTGCAAGGACCCTGAGTGGGGGAGGGTGTTGATGCTTCTGTCCCCTGCCCTTTACTGTCCCCTGCCCTTTACTGTCTTGCAGGTATGAAAGGGAGAGAAGAAAGAAGAGGGAGAGGGGCATGCCAGGATCGGGAGACATGGGGTCAAAATCAGAGGAGGGGCCTGGGGCTCACCTCTTCATGGAGGACTCCATGCCAGGGGGCTTTAGGGGGCCTGTTGCTGGAGCCTGACTTGGTGTTGCTTGGGAGCCTGGTGCTGGGGTCTGACTTGGCGTTGCTTGGGGACCTGTTGCAGGGGTCTGACTTGGCGTTGCTTGGGGACCTGTTGCAGGGGTCTGACTTGGCGTTGCTTGGGGACCTGTTGCAGGGGTCTGACTTGGCTTTGCTTGGGGACCTGTTGCAGGGGTCTGACTTGGCGTTGCTTGGGGACCTGTTACTGGGATCTGACTTGGCGTTGCTTGGGGACCTGTTGCAGGGGTCTGACTTGGCGTTGCTTGGGGACCTGTTGCAGGGGTCTGACTTGGCGTTGCTTGGGGACCTGTTACTGGGGCCTGAGTTGGCATTGCAGGGACCTGACTTGGCGTTGCTTGGGGTCCTGTTACTGGGGTCTGACTTGGCGTAGCTTGGGGACCTGTTACTGGGGTCTGACTTGGCGTTGCTTGGGGACCTGTTACTGGGGTCCGACTTAGCATTGTTTGGGGACCTGTTACTGGGGCCTGAGTTGGTATTGCAGGGGTCTGACTTGGCGTAGCTTGGGGACCAGTTGCTGGGGTCTGACTTGGTGTTGCTTGGGGACCCGTGGCTGGAGCCTGACTTGGCATTGCTTGGGGACCCCTGTATCCCACAGTGCTGTGTAGGTCTCCATAAGTGCTTCCTTCCACAGATGCTGCCTCTGTGCTCGTGGTGTCCAAGGTCCACATGCCTGTAGGTGGGGTTGCTCCTTCAGTGGAGCCCAGGGCTTGTTGCCTAGAAACAGGTGTTGCTTCTCGGAGGGTTTCCTGGGCCAGCTGTTCTGAGACTGGGGCTGATGGCCTCATGGTTCCTGTGGTTCTCCTGGCTGCATCTGGCTCCGTCCTGACCCTGTCTGTTTCCTGCCCTGCCCTATCAGCCTCAGTAGTCCTCTCCTTCCCACTCTCGCTGGCCCTAGGTGTGTTCGTGACTAAGCTATAGGTGCCCCACTCCTGAACACTTTCTGTTGTTTTGAACACACTTCTGGGTTTTGAAGCTGGACTCTCTGGAGCAGGGACTGTTGCCTTGATGGACCCCTCTGCCCCACTGCCTGTCTCCAGAGCTTCTTCCCAGGCTGTAGCAGGGGTTTGTCTTCCCTTTGCTGGAGTTGTGATTTTGCTGGTTCCGGAAGTTGAAGTAACTCTGTCCCATTCTGTCCCCTGTCCTAGAGTATGGGTGGCTCCTGGGATCCATCTGTTGGATGCTGGAGATCCTGTCTCAAAGGATGTCGTGACTAGCTCACCAGCAGCTGAAGTGGCTGTGGGGATGGTTTCGGAAGGACCTGTGTGAACAGCAGAGAGGGACACATGGGGAGGCTATCCAGGGCACCAACTAGATTTAGCAAAGATCACTGGGTTTAAAATATTTGCTAAACAGCATGCAGCCTCACTCAGAGGTGCAGTCTTTGACCCATATGTTGGATACAATAGAGAGGTGGGAATCCCAGATGTATCCTCTAGACCCTTGCAAATTCCTAGCTCCTTCTCCCAGGCACACATATTCTCTATCTAGCTGTCCACATTCCAGGTGCTGCCCTTACCGCAGAGGTGCACAGCCCATTAGGTACTGCTCTTCAGAAAAGGAAAAAAGAAACACAGGCTCCTACAGAGCAGCCAGGCACAGCAGATGGGTGGAGAGCAGCTGCCCAGGAACCCCATCTGCTCTCCTTGCTGGCGCTCCTGACCTGCGGCCTCCAGCACAGAGTGGCTCTCATGGTCTCGAGGTCCTCCCTCTCACTCTGGAACCTGCCACAGAGGTCTGGGCTTGGGAGCTGTCAAATGCCTGCTGAGAGGTTCTCCTGTCACAGGAGAGCCCAGTCCCAGTTCTTCTGTCCTGCCTGTCACAGTTCCTCTGTAGTGCTGGCCCCTTTTGCATGTCTGAACACAGAAGTCTCAGGACCCCAAGAAGCCACATTTTCTAATTCACTGCCTGCTCAGAACCATCTCCATATACATGTTCCACAGCATTGGGGCAGGGGTCGGGGATAAGGAGGGAGAGCTCATGTGCATTCGATTGGAAGGTTTTTCCTAATATTTACCTTTTTTTTTTATTATTGTTGTTGAACGCAGGGGTGAGCCACATCCCCAGCCCTTTTTTGTATTTTATTTAGAGACAGGTTCTTGCTAAGTTTCTTAGAGCCTCGCTAAGTTGCTGAGGTTGGCTTTGAACTCGCGATCCTCCTGCCTTAGCCTCCTAAGCTTCTGGGATACAGGTGTGTACCACCGCGCTCAGCTATCTACCTTCTTTCCGAAGGCAAGTTCCTTCTGAAATGAAAGGCTACCTCTGAGAGTCTTGACCTGCCCAATCTTTCCTCAGCGTTTTCCAAAGGTTTAAGCCTCGCTCGCTGTGCCTGGGTCTTCTCTTGCTCCTTCCTAGCTCAGCCTTCACCACTTGAGGCTCATCAAACATGGCTCATACCTGCAGAGACCGTCAGATTCATGTTCAAGAACAGCCTGTTGTTTCTGTCTCCAATGCCACAACGGTACTGTCCCACATCATGCAAGGACAGTTGGGACAGCCTCACCACAAACAAGCTGCTCTGTGGGAAGTCTGCTAGAGTCACACGACCCTGGTAGTCACGGTGAGTGTAGTGGTTGCTGGACACAATTGTGTGGCAGATCCTCGTTGGCAGCTGCAGACGGCACCAGTACTTCCTCTGGTGCCTGTTGGCTGACGAGGGGGTGTAATGGCACTGGATGGTGACAGCTCCCCCAGGTTTCCCAGCTACCAGCTTCGGGCCCTTCAATGTATTTGCAGCTGCAGGCAGAGAAAAAAATCAAAGGGGAGGAAGAGGGTGGGGAGAGTCGCTGTTGGGGGAATTTTAAGCCCAAATGCTACTAAAATAGATCACAGTGAAAGTGGAGCCGAATCAGTACAGAAATGGAAGAACTTAGCCATTGGGGAAGCAGGAGTCACCCCAAGATGTGGAATGCATCTGTACTCAAGGCCCCAGCTGGAAGATGAAAACACAGTAAGAATCTTACTCACTGCTTAGCTAACACTGATCACATGCTAGGTCTCCTTAACCAGTCCACCTGGGTTCATTCCATGCGCTCCAGGACAGATGTTTGAAAAGATGCCATCTAAGCTCATCTAAGAGGGCTGGGGCAGCACCTGACACAGGGGTCCCATTTGCATGCAATGCAAAGATATGAAATGGTGAGAAAATATTAGTGTGCTTTTTCTCTAAAAGGAGAGTGTGCCCTGAAACACAGGAATCCTGCTCTGCTTGGTGGGTACCTCTCTGGATTACAGCTGCAGAATTTTTCACACTGGCTATTTCTCTGCACAAGCAGGAATGACCAAGTGCCACTGTGAAAGGACAGAAGAGTGTACTGTGAAGGTCGCCTTTGGCATTAAGCCTAAAGGGAATTCCTAGGCAAACCACAATGTAACGGTTGCTGAGTGACTTTAATTTGATAAGGTGCTAGCAGAAACAAAGTTTATTCTTTCTCTCGCTGCCTCTTTGTACTATCTCTGTGGATTTCTTTACTCCTTGATAAAATTTCAGGCATAGTAGTCATTGTCTAGTAGCTTTAATTTTCTCTCTTGGGTAATAAAAGTCCAGTCTAGTGTGAAATGACATATCCAGCCCAGTACAATAAAAGACTGCAATGCCAGTCTCATGCAGTCAAAGTTTTCCTTTCTTCCAACGGGGCTTAGAGGCCTACCATGGAGGAGGGGGACAAATTGGGGTCCCTTGTTTTGCTCCCTCCTTCCTCTGTTCAAACCTGCTCTCTGTGGCCTCTCCATGGTTGGGCACAGAACAGAGAGGACAGGTGAAAGAGACAGGAATCATCTGCCCTTGGTGCTTTCTGCACATGGCAAATGTCTAAAACAGTCTCTCTCTCTCTCTCTCTCTCTCTCTCTCTCTCTCTCTCTCTCTCTCTCTCTCTTTCTTTTGCCACTCAGATATATTTTTGGTGGCTTTGGTGGTTTATCCCTCCTTGTGAGACCAGCTTTTCCTCTGCTAACCTTTTTTTGGATACTGGCAACCACCCTATGACTTTTGACCATCTGCCCGTCCTTTTGTGGTCACAGTGTCCTCTGGGTGGACCTTTCAATGGAGGCCCATTTGGTCACAGTAAGCACACCTTTGTCCTGCTGTCAAAAGAAATCTGGGACATATGGATGGCTTTCTAGAAGTTCCTTCTCTTAATTGGCTTAAACTGGGGACAAGCAGGTGGAAGGGATCCAGCACACTGGCAACTCTCTCCAAAACAGCTCCTCTGCCCTCTGAGGAGTGTTCTTTGGCTTGGATGGCTGTATGGTGGGCTATCACTGAAAGCAGGTGTACGTTCTGTTTCTGCAGTCCTGCAAGGAGGCTCAGCATCTTGCTTTAGCATGTGGGTACCTGGCAATTTGCTCTATGTCCTTAGGGTCTCTGAAGTCAAGAAAGTTCTGTTTAATATTCTATTGCCAGGAACAGCTAAATAATTTGTGGGTCTCAGTGCAAAATTAAACTGCAAAACCCCTTGTTCAAAAGTTACTAAGAATTTCTAGATGGTCACAGCAATAAATTAAGCCAAGTACTGGGTCCCTGTACATGAGCTGACTCTGTTATGTGTGCTTAGGTCTAATCACAAGAAGAGTAGAGGTCATACAAGCTATATTATATTAATGCTCACTGTAAATTTTACTAAACAGTCTACCCAATCATGCTGCAGATGACAACATTAAATGGTAACTTATTATTAAAGGTAAGACTATTCACAATTACAAACAAGGACCAGCAATGATGCTTTGATAAAGCATTCAGGAATTCTCCTGATCTCCATGTGGCACATTTGAGAGGAGCAGGGTTCCATTAATCAGCAGAGTGGGGAGGTCTGACTTAGCAGTAGAAAACCGACTGAGAATCCTTAATCAATTCTTGCAATGCACATTTTTTTCAAATTAATTTGTAAGTAAAGAACCAATACCTTAAGAACTCATGTGGTAGCATACTGATCAGTAGCTCTTGGTTTTATATTATGATTAAGGGGTTATTTGGGGAATTTTATATTAGTTATCTGTGAGAATATCACCTGTGAGAATTAAAGAATGGGCTAGCACTTTAGGATCTATGTGCTACCACCTGACGGCTCTGACACCAATTCTTTGCCCTTGGTGCGGGTGGGTGCTCCTGGCTCTTACCCACCCATCATTACCTGTTGCTATGGCCTCTCTTAGGGAGGGCTGAGTGGGGCCTGCAGTTGAAGGGACTTGAGCCAGACTTGGTGTTAGAAAGGTCTATGGCAGTACAAAGGGAGAGGAGGGGCTGTACCTGCCAAGGAACTCTCCTCCTGCCAGCAGAGGGGTGAGGAAGACAAGAATGTTTCCATGATGCAGAGGTGGGTGCCAGAGGGGAGAAAGTTGTCCTGCAGCCATCTGAGATGGGGTCCTCTGTGTGAAGGGGCCAAAGAAGAACCTGGGCAAAGGGAGGGAGCTGAACCATCAGCTCCAAGTGTCCACAAAGTCACCCACAAAAGGAAGAGGTGGAAAGAGCAGCCAGCTCTGAACCCCGACTTGGCAATCCCATCAATTAGGACCTAGCAGTCCTCATGCCTCTCCTCTCTCCCATTGCTCTGACCCCACTGGGATCCCAAGTGTCAGGGAAGAGAGGAAGGCAGCAACCATACCCCATTTCTGGTCTGCAGGGCTTTGCTGGCGGGGGGGGGGGATAAAGAGTAAATCTCTGAACACAGATTAAGGCACTGATCAAAATATTTAGCTGGACACTAAAAATGATGACAACTAGAACACTTGACACTTAGCAACTAATTTCTAACTTTTCACTATGTTAGCAGAAAAATCATGAGCCTGCTTGGTTGGGGGCAGTGGAAGCCTTCTTTTATTGAAAAAAAAAATTAAAGGAGACAGTGGGATATTAAAATAAGGAGGTGGTGTGATTATATAATACAGAGAATACCTAGTCAAATATGAGCTGCCTTTGATTCATTAATACTTTGATTTGTTGGTAAGCCAGACATGGTTTATCCTTTTTGGTATTATCATAGCATTTCCATTCATTTACTAATTAATTTCTAAGCTTCCACTTGGAAGTAGATTTTAGGTAGTAGACATTCTAGGCACATGCTGTAGTCCTCAGTGGCTCCCCATTACCATAAAATCCAGATGCCACTGGAGGAGATAGGGACATTTATTATCTGAACCCGACATAAAGCTGGTCAGCCTCACCACATGAGCCTGCAGGGACCTGTAGGGCAGGGATCCCGTCTCTCATTTCTCTGTCCCCAGTGCCTGGCATGTAGTCAGACCTTCACAAGTAAGAGTAAAACAAGTAAGTAAATGAATATGAGATGACTTTTATTCAGACGTAGTTTCTTTGTAGACTCTGAGCTTTTAAGAGGAGGGAAGTGTCTTCATTTTTATGTCCTTAGTGCTGGGCCCTGCACTTTGGAGTTTATAGAATGAGTGGTAAAGAAGCCTCGCTATATTTCTTTCTTGTGTACACCCTGGAACTTTTATCTTGAAAGTGGAGCTCACTTTGGGTCACCAGCTCAAAGGAAAGAGAGCAGAGTACCAGAACAATGAGTAGCAGAGCAAATGTCCCAAGTTCTGCCACAGGAGCTCTCACCTCTCTCATTTCCCCAGCCCAGATCTGACCACTCCCGGGCTCCACTGCATGGCCCAAGGCCCCAGGACAGAAAGCCATGGATGTGCCTCAACTGTGCAGAAATCCACTGTGCTGCCCTCCAAGAATCTCTGCAGCCTGAAAGGCTCGGGTCTGGTTAAGCCCTTAATCTGGACTGTGTTTGGGACTCACCTTGTAGCAGGCACAGTACAAGGAGGAGGGGCATTTTCCATCCTGCCCCCTGGTGGATGACCTGCAAAAAAACACTGTAAATGGAAAGAGGCCTGAGGGGAGGCAAATGGGAAGCTGGGTGAGCAGCCCAGGGGATGAGCACCTTCTGCCTTTGGGACCTCTGTTGGCTCAGAGAAGGGGCTGGGGTGGGTATATCCAAGAGCAAGACAAGGACTGCCCTGATTGACTCTGTCCTCACACTCCTGAGCACGCACATGGGTCACTGGCACCACAGTGAAGTGTCCCTTACCTTTAGCTCTGTGTATTCAGAAGAGACAGAACTCTGCTCTAGGAGACCAGCTCCAGCACCCACTTGCTGATGCCGAGCTGTGAATTTGGATGGAGCACGTAGAGTGGAAAGGGCGCATGCTTGAAGTTGGACCTTAGTTGAATGGCAGGGCCTTGGAAAAGGTAGTCTCAGGGCTCCATGGCCCCCCCCAAATATGCATGCTCAGGAGTGGGAGGACAGAGTCACCCCTTCTCATGGGAATGAGAGAATCTGTGTGGGGTCATTGTGCAACATAGCTAGGAGTGCGGGTAGGTGGCGGGCGCTGCACCTGGGGTGTAGAGAATTCCCCTTGGCTCTTGCATTCTTCCTTGCAGAAGGGGAATTGGTTCCTTCAGGGATAGTCTCCTTCACTGCTAGTGTACATACAGTAAGAAGGAGCTAAAGGTTAAACCTCAGGCCAAGCTGCTATCGGCACTAGGGTGCCACTGTATTTCTCCTTCACAGCTTCTAGAAGACCCTCTCTGCCCCCTGGTCTACAGGGATCTCCCTGTTCTGGTCTCTCCCATTGCCTGAGGAGCACCTGGGAGCAGGGCTATCTCATTCCTCTACCTTCAGGCTCTGAAACACGATTGGGCACAGGTAGGTGTGCAGTGCACAGCTCTTGTGCACAAGGATCCACCACTCTTAATGGCACTATAAAGGCTACCACTCAATGGCCTTCTACTGCTTGCAGATTGAAAAGAGAGATTTTACATTATACTTCTTTTATATTCTCCAGGGTATTTGTGGATACATTTGATTAATTAAAAATCTGCTTTTTAAATCCTGTCTACTGCCTGCAGTTCCTGGGACCTATAGTTGGCCCCTGTCTTTCTGCTTTAACACGTACTTCACTGATATTGAGAAGGTGCTCTTGGGCTGGGGTTGTGGCTCAGTGGAAGAGGGCTTGCCTAGCATGTGTGAGGCACTGGGTTCTATCCTCAGCACCACATAAAAATAAATAAATAAAATAAAGGTACTGTGTCATCTACAACTAAATAAAAAAAATTCAAAATCTTTAAAAAAGAAAAAAGATATTCACAGCCAATGGTTTGACCCCCAACTAGACTAACCACATGAAGCCATTGGCCAGTTTGGGACAAAGGCTATGCAGGGGGCAATTGAAGGGAGGATAAAAGGGAAAGGAAGGAAAAGAAAAAAGAAGAGGAAAAAGGGGAAGAGGAGAGGAAGGGTAGGAGGTGAAAGGAGAAGGAAAAACAGCGGAGAGGAGAAGAGAAAAGCCTAGACAGAGCCTATAGGGTGGGCCTGTAGCTGCAGCTTGACACCTGCGTGGCCTCCCAGTCACCTTCACCAAGGCCTTTGGCTGCCCTATTGGCTGCCCCAAGAGAGGCCAGATTCTGAAAAGCCTCCAGGCTCCTCACACCCCAGACCCTTGCCTTCAGTGAGTCCCCTATCTCAGGTCCCGCCATGGCAGTCCTAGCCTCTCCCTGCCTCACCCAGCTTCCTGCCCTCCCAGGGTGCACCTGCACCTAATCCTTAATTTGATTAATATTCACCAAGTCCAGGCTACCTCTGGGGACGGCACCTAGACTCCCCTGGGCTAGTTTTTCTTTAGTGCTAAGTCCTAACACAGCACACACTGAGGCCAAAGTCTCTGCCCTGTGGTGCCCAGTTCCCCTGAAGCCCATGGTGCAGCAATCTCTGGGTTTCAGGGGTGAAATCTGCCTCCTTGGGGCAATGAGGAAGCACAGTGTGAGATAAAATGGCTCCAGAAGGTTATCAGCCTTGATTGGGGCCAGGAAGGATATCATTCAACGGAATGCTTCCAAGTTACCTTCCCCACCAATGACCTTCAGGAATCCCTTCTTCCTGAACAGGGAGCTCCAGTTCAGTGGCCTGGCCTGAAGGCTCACTGTGCTTTGGGGGGTTAAGGCCCCCTGGGGGAACCCTATGGTCCTCCTACTGGGCAACAAGGCCACTTCATCTCCTGCTCAGGCTGGTGATTGCCTTCCTGGTTCCCGACTACTCCTGAGCCCTACTTCTTTTCTACCCCAACCCCAAGCAGACAAGAAGGGCAGGGCTAGTGTGGTACACAGGGAAGAGCACAGGACCCGGATTCAGGAGGTTCTGTTCTGGCTGAGGCTGATGCAATGACCTTGGTCTTGACCTTGACTAATGCTGCATTCCTTGCAACTATAAAAGAAGAGTTTTGCCTCTATGATCCCCATGCTGCTTGTTTCTAATGCTTACTGGTGTATTTCCCACAGGTTTTTAAGGAACCATGTGCTCTGCTGGGGCCTAGCAGAAGAGTAGGAGGGAGATGCTGGAAGGAGCCCATCTGCTGCTCTGGGAAAGGCACTTGGGGGTATGTGTGATACCCCCATTCAGGGCAAGACCCCCATCTCCAGGAGAAAATCTCATCTCACCTTTTGTTCTCTAGGCTTCCTTGGGGCTTTTCCATCCATCTCAGTACAGAAGCAAGATTTGCTTGGACTTTTCTTTGTAGCTGTAGGAAGCCTTGGCGTTTGCAGGTCTTCTAGGTGTTTCTTTATACCTGGAGAAAGAGAAGGCAGTACGGTGTGTTGGCAGAAGCTAGAGCTGGTGCTAGAAGACTGGGGTACACAGGACAGCTCTGCCACTCACCTCGGCCACTCACATCAAGGCCAGTTCGGGTCCTTGCTGTCCTTACTTATTCCTGCACAACTTTTCCAGGGCTGGTAATGGGAGCTTCAAGGAAACCGCCCGGATCTGCATTCTCTCTTCTCTGTGTCCCCTCCAGCATGGGGTCCCAGACTTTTTATCTGACCCGCTCAGGATCTCCAGAGTGCTGTGACAACCCAGTGGGAGACGAGGGACACTTTAAAACTCAGTAGAGGAATTCCCCTGCCGTCTGGCAGCTGTGCCCTCCAGCTGACCTGGCCCCTCCGATTCCCGGGGAGAAGCCATGTGGGCAGTTTGGTCACTGACTGCCGTTCGACTCCATGGCCTGGGGGTTATTAATCCACGTCTTGGACAAAAAAAAAAAAAACCAATGCAGTAAAGGAGACAGTCTTCTTAGGAAGAGGACAAGGGCAAGTGTGGCTTATCCAAATGGATGACACACCTAAAAAACACCCAGTATTCCCCTCTGGAAAACAGTTTATGGGGTTCTTTTCTTTGTAAAAGATATGATCTTCCTAACTCTGTTGGCCTTGAACTGGCACAGCCCAAGAACTCGACAGATAGGGGACTTCAAGGAATGGAGGTGCTGTGGATTGTAGTTAAAGACCCTCACCAGGACCCCTAATATCCCTGGGCCAATGAAAAAGGCCCTCTCTTCCCTGAAAATTGATTCAGATAGTACATGATTATAACTGTCAATGGCGGAACATATTCTCCGTGCACTCCCCATTCCGGGCTTGAAAATAGGTAGGAATGGAGTCACTGAAAGCTATTGGAGAAGAAAAGAGACAACTTTAAGGAATACTCAGAATATGACTGAGCTAAGGCAGTTTTGTGCATATGTGTGTGCTGTGATTGCTATCTCAGGCCTTGATCAACAGCTCCAGTCTTAGAGTCCCAGATCTTCAACCCCACATATGTTAGACTACATCTAAAATGTGAAAGGCCTCCCTTCAGAAACGATACCCTTGAGCAGCGCACAACCTAAAGAACCACATGCTAACCCTGTCTTCAGAGGCTCATCTCCAGAATTTAATGATACTCTCAAGCAGGTGGTACACAGGTAGCTAATGCCTGTCTATATTTTCCCCTCTCAGTTCCTCAGGGAGCAGTATCATACCATTTTGGATCTCACAGACTCTGGAGTTACTTTACCTTCTTGCCAAGTTTATATTGGAAAGTGATAGGGTCAGGTTACTTATTCTCTTTAAATCTTGCTTAATCTGTTAAGCAGGAAATAATAATATCTACCTCATAAAGATATTATGTGACATAAATGCAATCCATGTAACTCAAAGTGCCTAGCAAGTAGTAAATTCTCAGAAAACATAAACTGATAATATTATTAACTTAGTTTATAGCAAGAGGAAACAGGTGTCTTACAGTGATCAAACCTTCAAAAAAAAATCTTTTGGAGGTTTTTGCCTATTTAGGATTTTGATTCTCTCTTTCTTTCATTTTGTATTCTTAAGCATATATTTTTCTATTTTATCTACTTTTCAACACTTTGAAGACTTTTTTTTTATTATCACTAGAGACGTAAATTACAGTAAAGCTCAGTAAGTTGTAATACACTGGACTTCTTTCACAGCAACATCCCTGAGCCATGATGTTCCTTCTCTGAAACTCTATGGGAGAAAACTCACTGACTCACTGGTTGCCTCTTCTGGGGATGTATCCGAATTGTCTTGCCCAGTACAAAGCCACCAGGGGCTTTTCCATTGGTTTATGATACTGTGGCCTTCTGAACTTAGGACCCAGACTTTGAATCAGGCTCAATAGCACTTTGACCAAATGCCAAATCTGGGAAGAACTTTATCCATTCTCTATTCATCCCTCCAACTTCCAACCCCTCAATCCTAGTATTAGTAAAGGATTGTATTTGCTAAACACACCCACCAGAGTAAAAATCAGCAAACAAAAAGCTAGCTCAAGCAAGGAAAGCTACTTGTGCTATAAAACAATCCCTTTGATCTCCCTCTGAAGCGTGTTTTCTAATGTATGTGGAGAGCAATGAACAGAGGTGTTTGTGCACTCATGGGGCTTACCCCGTTTGTTCCTCTTCCTGGGAAGTCACATTATTGCTAAGTTTTCTGCTCCACATACCCCCTGTGCCAGCTTTTTTTTCTTTTCTTGTTGTCTGCCGGTTAACACATCTTCCCTTCTGGTTGCACTTGGCCTTCAAGTATTCTGGTCAGAACACTAAGTGTTAAAGAACACAGCGTTTACAAAAGGCTCACATCACTGCAGTCCTTGATCACTTACTGAGAAATCCACAAAGGAAGTTGAACTATGAAACTTGTCACTCCTCCAAATGACAACAGACATAAAAAGTATTTGTATAGCACAAATAATCATTTTATAATGGCATTTAGCTGGTTTTTACAACCTCAACCATCATTTAGCTGATTGCAAAGCTTGTGATCCAGCAATATTCAACCCCCAAACACAGGAGGCATTCCAAAGGCAGTTAGAGAGTGCTGAGACAGGTTACATTCTTGTGCAGACTGCTGGCAAAGTGCAAAGAACCCTGGGAGATCATTTTTTAGATGTGGGTGTAATAGCCAAAACCCTTAGCTGTAGCTCATGTCAGCGTGTTGCTAATGGATCGTTGTAGGAAAGCGTGGTCAATAGCTCTTGGCATAATCTTTCTGGAGTGACTTGATTCTGGGGATTGAAGTGAACATGTTTCTTACTGGTTGGGATTATATGCTATTTAGAATAGATCTTACCCTGTGATAATGACTATGGCCCTTGCTTCATGGAAAGGGCACAAAATAGTTAATTTACCAATAATTAACTTGTTGGTCTCCTGGAAGAATGGACTATGTGGGGGATCCAGTGTTCATCTCTGTTGTTGGCAGATATTTGAGAGCCACTCTGGCTTTAAGCTGGGGTGGCTCAGTGGTAGAGCGCTGGCCTAGCAGGCCCGAGGCCCTGGGTTCCATCCCTAGCACCTCAAGCAAACAAACACAAACAGTAGCTAACGTGGCCTTGGTCAGTTAGTTGGGCCCATGTACAGCCTCCATTTCTCTGACTGTGACTCCTTCCCTAATATGTCCTTTGTGCCAGCACCAGGGTGGCCAATGGCTGAAGCCAGCTGATGTCAGATGGCCAAGCCACTCTGCCTACTTGGGAGTCTAGTGTCTCTTCTGCAGTGGAGTCTCTGAAAAGTCACTGGAATATGCTACAAAGACCTTCACCCATCTTGCCCACTTCCTTGTCCACTCATGTGCTTCTACCCCAGTCTTTCACTCTTGCTCCATGCAGACCTCTGTGCATATTCTAACATTAGGCTATTTTCCCCCTCTCACAAACCAGATCACTAGGTACACTGTCCAAACCTCTGTCCATTGGAAGGAACCCCTCTGGCTTGCCACAGTCCTTCAAGGCCACTCTTACTGTTCCATTTCAACCTGAACCTGTGTACCAAAACAGCTAACCTATGGATTAAGCTTGGGGTTTTTCCTCTTCTACCATCTACTCTGTTAGAAAGTGTCCTCCTAGTGGCCCTTATGACACAAAGGAGGGACAATTTGTCACTGTGGTAGTCATGGGAGTCTGGGCTACTTGCTCATGCAGCCTGCTTGTGCTCTCAGGTCTTCGTACTTCGTCTCAGATGTAACCCTTAAAATATGATGTATTGCTGCCAGGCCTGGTTATCCTAACTCTTAGTAGGTATACTAGCTCTCAACTCATGATGGGCAGCTTCAGATGCCCATCATGTCCTGGGCGCAGGTATTGTGTTTTTGTTGGACCCAGTTTCATACCAAGAGTTGTTTTGCAAAAGGCATACGATTCTCCTCTGCAAATGGCATGGCCTTGCAAAAGAACCACAGAGGACCAGGGAACTAGGCTGTGATTCTCTCTCTGGGGCTGCTGTAGCTCCACATAACATCTTTATCTACCGTGTATAGCTTCAATAATAAGTGACTGCTTAAGGCTCAACTGGGATCTGCTACTAAGCCTTTTCCTGCTCTAGTATCATTCCGAGGTAGAAGCCTTTCATTTCACTAGCTGCATAGGCCAAATTAGTGTTCCCATGTGTGGATTCTGCTGTGTCCTGATTCAAAGAGGTCTACTAGGTATGTTGCTTCTTTCATTGTAGTAGAAGGTATAGATGGGATGTTTTGTCTTTTACCTTGGAGAAAATTTCCTATCAGGCCCTTGAGTATAGGACCCCTAAAACTATTCGTTGTAGGTTTGCCTCCCATCCTCTGAGCCACATGCAGCTTATGAAGGCTCAAGTATGCCTCCAATATGTTAGCCAGTTCTTGCTCATGTGGCCTAAGTAGCATAATATCATCAGATAATAGATCAATGTCACATTCTTCAGGCTGTCTAACTGATTTAGATTCTTTTGGACTATTTGTAACAGGACAGGGGAGTTTCATAGACTTAGGATGGAACTGCAAATGTATATTGTTATTCATCTCTATGAATGCAAGTGGGCTCTAATCCTCTTCTCCAAAAAGAATAGCAGGGAATGCATCCTATGCACCGGAAGCCACGTCAATCTGCTCAGAGCGGATAGATAGACGCAGTGGCTGGAACTGGGGCTACTATTTGGTTGAGTTTGTGGTCATTTACTGTCATTGTTCAGGGTGCACTTGTTTTCTGCAGGGGCCAGCTATTGCATTAAATGGAAACATTATGGAAACTGTCATTCTTACATCCTTTAGATGTAAGAATGATCCTTAAGGGTGGTATTATATCCAGAATTATCTCAGCCAATATTGTTGTATATTGCCTACCTTGGCTAGAGATGGAGAAGTTCAAAGGCTTCACTTGGCCCCACTATCATAGATCTTAACTCACAGGCCTAGCACCCAATGATCCAACTGATGATTATATCAACCCCAATCATACATTCAGAGACTGGAGAACTAACCACTGGGTGTGAGCTGGACTTTTTTTTTGTTACTGGTTCCCATGTCCCCAGCTAGTTAGAACAAGGAACTATGATGATGATTTGCTTCTCTGGGCATCATGTCAGCTTGGACCTTGTGTCCAGTAGTCCCTGGAATATTTGGAAGTCCATTTTTCTCAGTGTACAGTTATCCAAATAAATGAAGAACTGATGGAACCTTTACTGTTTACTGTTTCTATTTGCTGTGGGGTTGCTCCTTCCCAGGACCTGGCTGAGTCTGAGTCTAAAACCTGTTTCAGGCCCAGGAAATGATCAAGTGATCATGATATTTTATTGGGGTTACTTGTCTCCCTAGGCAGAGATTCTCTCACTGGCATTTGTCATAGCTCCATATAGCATCTTTATCTACCACCTATACCTTCAATATTAAGGTAGGGCTTAGTGGATGACTCCTAGTCATCCATCCTTGAATCGTCTAATAGTACAAATTAGTCGAGTATCTACCTTGCCTCTAGCACACTATGTTTCTTAAATCACAATAACCTGTGAGTCAGGCCACCTTGGCTGCCACTTCAACCCTGGTGCTCACCTTAATAACTACATCTACCTGGTGTCTGCAGTTAAGTGTCACCACCTGGCTTCTTTGGTGCTGGGTCTATCATCACCATTGGTACCACTAAGCCAGATTCTCTAGCTACCTCTCCTGCCATAGTCCTGGCTTATACAGGGGAGCCCCAACTCATCTTTTCAGTGATGCTGGTGTCCTTCTCAGGATCTCATTTTTCTTAAAATGATTTGTTCTCTGGGCCATCTCATGGAAAGAGCTATCTGGTAGGACTTCCAGGTTTATAGTACATCACTCCACCACACCCACTTCCCTGAGCTCTTTCATTTTTCCCTCTACTGCCTACTAGGATAATACTGGCATTTCAACTTCATCTAGACTGGGTCTTCGATTGTTTCATGCTTCTAGGAGCCATTTGAACAGCAAAGTCACGTCACCTCCTAAGGTCCTTACCAGATGTTAAATCCTGGGTTTTTTGGAGAGTACTACCTAATTAATGAACTCCCTAATCTTATGTTCTGGCCCCTTTAATCCAGCACCTACAGGATCCAGTCCCACGTGAACTCCTCGAATACTGCTAAAATATGCTGGCAGAGACCATCTGCTCATTTGGGATCTCTCCTCCCTTTCTTTCATCATCAATCATCAGACATAGCACATACTTGACTGGGCTATGCAATGTCTTTACCCTACTTATACGTCTATTTACTGAAAGCAGAGTTGGAGGGGAGAAGCCTATTTGTTGTCTTCAAGCAAGGCTGGAATGCAGGAGTTGAAGAGAGACTGGCTCTTCCCAGGGCAAAGAAGGAAAATTTTGCAGGCTCAGAAGGTTTGAAAGACTATGGAAGTTCAAAATTCAGAGCATCATCCATCCTGATGTCCTGCCAAGTTCCAGAGTTCCATCGTCCCCACCCCCGTTCCCTCAAATGTCTCCATACTCTTTGGTCTTCAGACTGAATATGTCCATGAACTAAAAAAGGCAGAGCCAACTTACACTTACAGAGAGGTTGTCATGTGACTAGCTCAATTTATTGAAATCCCACCAGAGCCAATAATTAGTAGGATTCCGGGGACCATTTTCTTACCAAATACTGAAACAAGTAAATGTATTTAATCTCCAGTTTGGCTGCAATGAGAAGGCTCCATAATGATGAGAAATTGCATCCTGATTTTAGCTGATTTAAGTTTTAAAGAAATGTTGTTTGTACACACTATTATCTTTAAGCTCTATGCTGACAAAATTACTCAGTTTGAAAAGGAAAATTATCTTCAGAGATACTTAACCTAACCCTTCATTAACCCCAGATTTCTTTTTTCAACCACCTAATCATGAATGAATGAGAAAACTGGAATACCAATATAGCACTTAAATATTTCCAAAAATAAAGCCTTAAGAGAATGTGAATTCATGGGCCAGAAAAGTCTGAAGAGAATTCTCAAAATCATAAATTTTCATAGAATCATAAAATTCGGGGAACTTAATTAGAAGTTAGCTAATTTGAATCTCTATTCAAGGCAAAATATCTTCAAAGAATTCTTGTAAAATGATGTTCAGCTTCAGTTGGGTTACCGCCAGTGACAAGGGACACAAAGTCAACTCCATTTTCAAATACTTTTAATTTTTAGGAAACAGCAAACTCATTTTAATTTCTACCTGTTGACAATACTTACACCATCTGAAAGGAGAAATGAGGGATTAGATCTACTCTTTCTTCGAATAATAGTAGAGGCTGCTGTTTACTTACCTGAACATTCCTCAATCCTTTGGACTACAGTCTTAAGTGTTATATCTACAAATGGCCATCCTTCAGCAGTGTGTCTATTTTTGGTGCTTCTCTATGTCTGCCATGATCTCACTTAAGCATTGCAATAACTCCATAAGTTGATATTATTGTCCCCACCACATGGATAAGAATTCTGGAGTCTCAGGGAAGTTCCAACCCCCGGTCACTGAGTTGTTCCCTTCCCTTCTAGATGAATTTATTTGTTAGTAAGTCTTAAAAGCACTTGAGAATTGAGCCTGTGGATGATAGGTTTTTTGAGCAGGTATGGGCAGTAGACATTAAGAACTGGAAGAAACACATTAGGAAAAATGAAAACCTGTCAGGAATTGTGACAATAATCAAAGTGCTGAGATTGGCATGATTAATGACAGGTAGCACAAGGTCAGGGTGATGTTCCCATGATGTTGGGGCCAGAGTAGGCAGCAGGTTAGGGGATGAGAAGAGATTGGGGGATTGATTTAGTAGTCCTCAAGTATTGATCAAGAAGTTCTTGATCAAAATCAACCAAATTCCATTGTTATATTGTATGCACGTATGAATATGTAACAACAAATCTCACCATTATGTATAATTATAATGCAGTAATAAAATATATTTAAATAGCAAAAAATAATTAGGGGAAAAAAGGAAGTTCTATGTGCTAGCTCTATGCTGGGTGTTGGGAATGGATTTCGAAGAAAACAAATATGTCCCTTCCTTCATGGAGATGAAAGTCTGGTGGGGAAAGGGACATTAAATGAATCAGCATAGAGACAGGTGTATGCAAATGTCAAGTGATTTGTAAGTGTTGGTAATTATGAGGAAAGAAAAGAACGAGGCTCTAAAAAGTGGTCCAGACTATCTGATATAGGGGATGTGCTAGTAGCCTTAAGGGTGGTTGGCCATTCTGATGGTGAGAAGACCATCTCCCTGGCCAAAGGGCTGTGCTCCATGTCTGGCCAGCTGCCCCACCCTGCCAGCTGCGGATTGGGCTGGGACAGAATCCAACTGGAGTTTTGGATAATGACAGTCTGGAAGCACCCTCTAATGTTACGGGAAGGAATATAGTAGAGAAGGAGTTGAGGAAGGAAGAATTTTAATTGAGACTGGCTTGGGGGATGGTGAGAACAGTTCTTTTCCTGGACTTAGGAAAAGCCCCAGCAACCATGTTGACAGGGTTGGGGATAAGGTTTAGAGTGATCCCATGTGGTGTCTCAGAATGTGTACTTACAGCCCAGCTAAAACTACTATAATGAGCTAAGAATTCTTCCACTGCTCTGTTTGGCTCATTTACTGTTCCAAAGATGCCTTCTCAATGCTTGTCCTCCTAGCTTACTATATCAGCGAAGAAATGGATAGAGAAGGCACATTGGCTTTTATTTTTTCATGCTCCTAGAGGCTATGACCTCATCTTACATCGACAATGACTCTCCTTCCAAATAAGGAGAGGTTTAGGACTTCAACCTATCTTTTTGGCACATTTCAACCCAGGGACAGAAACAGAGAACAGCTAATCATTACCATCAGGAAAGCAAACACCTTTTCCTGGGGTCAGTTAAAGATCCCCAAGCAGTCTGCACACTTGGGAGAAGGACGAGAGTCTCTGTGTCTCAAAGGATCTCAGAAACTGCTGGTGGGGAGGGCATTCTCCTTGCTCCAGGAATTGCTTGAAAAACAGAACTCTAGCTTCACAAGCTGTGAGAAGGAAGATGCCTGAGGAAGGCATCTCTCACAGCTGCTAGGAGAGGTGGTGCAGCCTTCTCCATGGTAGGGGCTGGACAAGATAGTCCCTCATAAATCCTTGCATACTACATACCCTCCTTTTATTAGATTATTGCTCTATTTTGAGCCCTGTCCAGGTTAATGCATGTGCTACTTTCTCTGCCACAGAATATGGCAGAGCCCACAAGCTGCAGTATGTTGTCAAGTGTGTGCATCTACTGCCACCATGTGCCCAAAAGACTCCATGGCTAGAGTGATCAGAGTCACCTTAGCAAGAATAGGGGTAAAGGAGAGCATTTCTGATCATTGTGTTGGGACAGCAGGTGTAAATCATGAGTGTTCCAGGTGCTATATAGTCACCCATCCATGAAAAGGGAAGCAAGTTGTGCAGGGGAGCAAGAGGATGGGCAAAGATTTTCCCAAGGGAATTCTGGCAGTTTCCGGTTTGTCCCACTGGCCTACATTTGTTCTCAGAACCAAGTTTCCTCTGAGATCTACACTGGCCATCTTGTGCCTCAAAGTTAACAACACATTAAAGAGTTTTGAACTCCTTTGGCACAAAGAATAAGGAAATCGCAACAATGCACATTAAAGAAAAAAAAAACTTTCTATGTTGCCTATGTACTTGACAGGTCCAAACACACTTAAAGTTTTTTCTGACTTTAAAGGTGCATTTTAAATCAATAAAGGATCAAAAAGTCCAGAAAGGGCCTCTGTGTGTATGCGTGTTTCAAAATTGACATATTATTTACATATGGAAAAATAAAAGTAAAATATTTGTTTTATAATTGCTTCTTAGTCTGGATACGGATTTCTGTTCATAGTGGGGATGAGATGATACTGGTAAGGTATATCAATCTGCCAATTAATGGAAATGTAATCTCTTCCATTTTTTTCCTGATCTCTTTTTAATAAAGCTGTTAAATCAAAGCTCATATTATTAATAGCTTCAAGAAATCTCTCGTACATCCTCTCATGGTGTCTGGTGCAGTAGAAATGCTCAGATATATCTGGTCCTTCCTAACCTCTGCTGAGTTGGTCCTCTTCCTGCATGGTGCTACAGCTGGCCCATGAGCCTCATCTTGGCATCTGCCACTGCCACCCACACCATGGTCCTTGCCATTGCCTCTGGTGACCATAGTTCCTCTGGGTTTGATTATTTGGTACCCAGTTATTTTTTAATTGCTCAGCTGTTGCCCATCTCCATGAGATATGCTATGAATTAGTTGTGGTTTGTTCCAAGAGTTCATGTGTTGAGGGAATTGGCCAATGTGGGGTGGTACAAGGAGGTGGTGGAACCTTTAAGAGGTGGGGCTTAGTGCAGGTAATTGGGTCATGGAAGTGGGCGCACTGCCCTTGGAAGGGATTAAGTAGTTCTCTTGAGAGCCTACTTAGTTTCCTCAAGAGTAAGTTGTCAAAAAGAGAAAGACTGGCCATCTCCCTTGCCTCTGGCTTCCTGTCCCATCATGTGACGTCTCCTCTCATAAGCTCTTACTGTGAGTCCATCTGTCAAGAAGTGATGCAGCCAAGAGGACCTTGCCAGGACTGGCACCATGCTGTTTGGACTTTTACGCTCCAAAACTGTGAGCTAAATAAATCTTTTTTCTTTATTAAATCCCCAGCTTCAGGTATTTTGTTATAGTAAGATGAAACAGACTAATACAAGGCCTCAGAGAACTCCAGATTGTTTTCTCCCAACGTGATGTGACATATGGATACTTGGAGGCTGCCCTCTGCACATAACTCAGTCACTGCTACTTCCCTTTTCATGGATTGAGTTGGATGTAGAATCCTTCTTTGCAAGGCCTGTAGTTTCTTCAAGCCTGCCCAGGTTGTGAAGGATATCAGCTCTGAAATTCTCACACTCTCTAGAATCTATCCAGTTGGTTGTGTTGTTCACAATGTCCTCTCCTCTTTCCAATGTTCCATTCTGGGGAGGGAAAGGCACCCAGAACAGTGCAGGTTATCCTTGACTTTTCCTCTTCTCCCCCCTCACTCAGCTCTTACTCTTTGTCCTGGAAGGAACTTTTCCATATGTGGTGAAGATTTCATGGGCCTCAATTTCATGATATTCTCTGATCATGATCAATGATCAGTGATCTGAATCTATGATTAGTTGTCCAGGCTTTGACTATCTGAAACTCCCCTGGCATTTTCTAAAAGATAATTTTCTCAACATAGTCTAGAAAACCAAATAGTAGCTGCCTTGTTCTTGAAGACTCTTTCTTTCTCATAAAGCCATGGATTCCATTTATTTCATGATTGGGAATCACAGATTAATCAGCCTAATAGTTACCAGGTTAATATTTCAAACACTATCAGGTTAATGTTTCAAAAAACAGTGAAATATACCACATTTTTTTAATCCATAAATTCATCTACTGAAGGACATCTAGGTTGGTTCCACAGTTTAGCTATTGTGAATTGTGCTGCTATAAGCACTGATGTGGCTGTGTCCCTGTAGCATGCTGTTTTTAAGTTCTTTGGGTATAGACTGAGGAGAGGAATAGCTGGGTTAAATAGTGGTTCCATTCTTAGTTTTCCAAGGAATCTCCATATTGCTTTCCAGATTGGCTGCACCAATTTGCAGTTCCACCAGCAAAGTATGAGTGTACCTCCCTCCGCCACCCGCCACATCCTCGCCAACACTTACTGTTGTTTGTCTTCATAATAGCTGCCATTCTGACAGGAGTGAGATGAAATCTTAGAGTAGTTTTGATTTGCATTTCTCTAATTGCTAGAGATGATGAACATTTTTCATATATTTGTTAATTGATTGTATATCCTCTTCTGAGAGTTGTCTGTCCAGGTCCTTGGCCCATTCATTGATTGAGTTATTTGGGGGTTTTTTTTTTGGTGTTTAGCTTTTTGAGTTCTTTATATACCCTAGAGATTAGTGCTCTATATTACTCAGCAATAAAAGAGAATAAAATCATGGCATTTGCTGGTAAATGGATGGAATTAGAGAAGATAATGCTAAGTGAAGTTAACCAATTCCAAAAAACAAATGCCAAATGTTTTCTCTGATATAAGGAGACTGAATCATAGTGGGGTAGGGAGGGGGAGCATGGGAGGAATGGACGAACTCTAGATAGGGCAGAGGGGTGGGAGGGGAAGGGAGGGGTCAGGGGTTATCAAGGATGGTGGAACGTGATGGACATCATTATCCAAAGTACATGTATGAAGACACAAATTGGTGTGGACATACTTTATAAACAACCAGAGATATGAAAAATTGTGCTATATATGTGTAATATGAATTATAATGCATTTTGATGTCATTTATTTTAAAAAAATCATTAAAAAACAGTGAGAATTTTGTGTTCAATACATGTCATCAAATAATAAGGAAAAAATAGTCTTTGCTAGCAGTTTAGAAGATAAATTGCTCCAGTTGGAAGCTAAAATAAGTTCCATATGGATTAACCAGTTGAACCTTTGAAGAAAAATCAAAACACTAAAAAATATTAGCAGCAAGTAAAAAAAAAATACTCACTTTTACTTGCTGCTAATATTTTTCAGTTTAAAAAAATCCTTAAAGAAAGAAAACTGGAAGAGAAAATAAAATGCTTTTTAAAAACCCGCTCCCCCAACAATATAAACAAATTAAAATGAAAACAAAAGACTTAGAGAATATTTCCAGCACACATAAGGGTCAGGGTGCTGAGTATAATCACCACATCTGTAATCCCAGCTACTGGGGAGGCTGAGGCAGGAGGGTCACAAATTCAGGGCCACCCTAGACAACTTAGCAAGACCCTGCCTTGAAATAAAAATAGGAAGGGCTGGAGATGTAGCTCAGTAGTAGAGCATTTGCCTAGCATGTGTGAGGTCCTGGGTTCAATCCTAGTAGAGAGAGAGAGAGAGAGAGAGAGAGAGAGAGAGAGAGAGAGAGAAAGGAAGAGAGAGAGAGAGAGAGAAACAGAGAGAAAATTACATGTTATATAACAGAAACTTTCATTCATTGCAGATTAAATTGATACCTTAAGTAAGTAATATAACCTAGGAATCTTACTATCTGGGGCTTATTCTAGGCCATAAGTTGCATTGTGATGGTCAGTTTACATGTCTGACTCTCCATTGGACAATGGGACATTATATTTTCTTTTTCACCTCTGAAATCATGATGCTTAGACCCAATTCTGACATAATTATATGTGGCAAATAAATATTGCAGAGAAATTATTTTGTTGCAGCATTTTTATTATATGAAAATGGAAATATTCTTTAAATTTTTTTTAAAAAATAAATGACAGTGGAATGCATTACATTTCTTATTACACATATAGAGCACAATTTTTCATATCTCTGGTTGTTTATAAAGTATGTTCACACCAATTCTTGTCTTCATACATGTACTTTGGATAGTGATGTCTATCACATTCCACCATCCTTGCTAATCCCCTGCCCCCTCCCTTCCCCTCCCACCCCTATCCTACCCTATCTAGAGTTCATCTGTTCCTCCCATGCTCCCCTTCCCTACCCCACTATGAGTCAGTCACCTTATATCAGAGAAAACATTCGGGGGAAACATTCTTAATTTTAATAATAGAATGACTACTCACTTGATGGGGATAAATCAATTAAAATAATAATTGTCAAGTGTTATATAAGACACGAATAAACCTTATATGATTATAACAAGTATGAATCTTAGACTACACATTCAATTTTCTATAGTAAAGCTTAACTTTTCTTTTCAAGTACCCTTTATGCCCAATATTATGCCCATTGCTGTCCATATTATGCTCACTCTGGGTAATATCAGCAATTCTATCCTATTGCCACCTCCTTTGCCCCCACTTGCTTGCTTTTCCCTGGGCTTGTGTGCTCTAGCTGGCATCACAGGATGTCCATTGACTTCTGTTTTGGTTATTGATTCAGGTAGGACTGGGTTGTCTTCGGTTTTCTAATACAAAAGATGTGCAGGCCCAGTGACTTGAAGATCCTTGCAGAAACAGGAAGATCACCAGCTCTAGGTCAGCATCAGCAACTTAGTGAGGCCCTAAGCACCTTAGTGAGATCCTGTCTCCAAATAAACATAAAAAAGGACTGGGGACTAAGGATATAGCTCAGTGGTATAGCACCCTTGGGTTTTTTTAAATATTTATTTTTTTTAGGTGTAGATGGACACAACACAATGCCTTTATTTTTTTTAAGAGAGAGAGAGAGAGTTTTTTTTTTAATATTTATTTTTTAGTTTTTGGTGGACACACCATCTTTATTTTATTTGTATGTGGTGCTGAGGATCGAACCCAGCACCCTGCGCATGCCAGGCGAGCGCGGGGCGCTTGAGCCACATCCCCAGCCCACAATGTCTTTATTTTTATGTGGTGCTGAGGATGGAACCCGGGTCCCGCCGGTGCTAGGTGAGCATTTTACCGCTGAGCCACAATCCCAGCCCCCACCCTTGGGTTTGATCTCCAGTACAAAAAAAAATTTGCAAGACAGCCTCTGTCTTTGCTATTTTGTATCATGAAACCACTGGGGCTACAGGAGCTCTGAGAGGTTGTCTTGGGTCTGCCTATCCTAGTTGGTCCTGTAGTTTCTGTGCTCCCACATGACGCTAGTGACACTTGCCACTTCCCTAAGCTCCTTCCATGAAGGTGGTTCCAGTCTCATCCACAAGGATCTGGGAATATGGGTGGAGCAGACACAGGACACCCAGCTTCCTTCTGATTCTCTGCAGCCCTGCCCTAGCTCCGCACACTTTATCAAGTCTTTGGGGTAAAGAAGACTGGGTCTGACTATTCATGTACTTTCTAATGGATTTGTCTTTGACCCGAACTTCAACTATTAAAATTCATGGCCCATTATTTGATAAATTCATTCTGCTATAACAACCCTTTAGAGCCTGTGTAGGAAGAGCCAGTGAATAGGCAGGATGATCAATAGTAAAACATAGGCTGATAAATAAAGCGATGGGCCCTAAAAAGTCTTCTCTAAGTAAGAAGAAAAGTACAGGCTATACCATAGAAATGAATTGGTCTGTGGAAACATTCCAAACATTCTAGCTGATTCCTTTGTCCTAGAGAGGTGGGAAAAGCTTCCTTTGTCCAAGAGATTTGGAAAAAGGGAAAACAGGATGGATCTGAGTGAAGGCTACAGAAAATTCCAAACTTATCAACTAAAAGAACACAAGCAATCAGTCAGAACATTGCAGGCCTTACCGATAACCTTAGCAGTTTTTCCAATACCTGGTCAGCCTAAATATTGAACAACATCCCTACCCAGCAGCCATAAAAACTTCTAGATTAGTACATTTAAGTGGCAACCCTTCATCAGGATCCCTCTTGCTTGGCGAGAGCCATTTCTTTTCACTTGGATAAACTTACTCTTTCACATTCACTCTCCGTTGTCTGTGAATTTCATTCTTTCGAGTTTGCACAAGAACCTGGAAAAGATATGATGACAGTTTGCTGCTATGTGGTGACACTAGAAGGCATAGCCTGTTGTGAAGCTGATTGACTTACTATAATCATAACAGCAGAAAATCTGGTTTCACTAGGATATAATATACAACAGCACAAATCAAAATCAAAATGTAAACTCACTGATTAAGGTATCAAAAGGTTAGTCTACTACAAAATGCTAAAACAAACAAACAAAACCCATTAAACTTCATTATAAATGTGTGAGCATTTTCTATGCATATGGATAAAATCACAGAATAGGGAGAATATAAAGCTAATTGATGTGTTAGTCAAAAGAGTGTGATTTTCTTTTTCTTAAGCACATTTCATTTATGTTAGCTATATGTAAATATGAGTCATGTTGTTTGTGAGAAAAGAATCAATTTTGCCTCCAATAATATAGAGCCTCCCTGACCCCTGATTTCCCACCAGGGCTCCATCAATCCCTGATGCTTATATTTTGCACAAGCTCAGTCTGTACCATATGAGGTGCAATTAATTGAGAGGCAAGGCAGTAGTAGAAAAAGAGAAATCACTTCATTATGATGATGAGTTATGATGATAGGAAGAGGGCAGGGATTTCCATCCTAAAGAGCCATCAGCTTTTTAGCTGATTTTTTTTTTTTAGGACTATTTATACCCTCCTCAACAGGTAGAGGCTTGTGGTCAAATGATTGCACGTCTGACCTTAATCAAGAGATACTTTTTCAGTTCTGCAACTCTCAAGAACAAAGATCATTATTTCCTCAGGCTTTTCTTGTTACTGATTGGTTTTCCCATGTGCCGTTCCTAACATATTATGCAATGGACAGGATAGAGCAGGTAGCTGCCCAAGAACCTGTTACTGACCACCAAACTTTTCGTAATGAAAGAAAACATACTTCACTTGATTACTGTGGAAGATAAGAGTCAGATGAGGTAAATAGGGAGTCAGGTAGGAGATCTGGTCTCGATGCTCAGTTTCAATATGGCTTCTTCCTTCCAGTAAATCCAGTTTACTTACCCAGAACCAACTCATGCCAGCTTCTTCTTTGCCTTTTGCTTGGCTCAGTGGTTTTCAAACTTTAGCTACACCAGAATCTCTTAGAGAGTTTGTTAAAATACAGATTGCTGGCCCCACCCCAGCCAGTAGATCTGGGGAGGAGCCTGAGAATTTGCATCTGTAATGAGTTCCCAGGTGATGCAGTGCTGTGGGTCTAGGGGTCCACACTTTCAAAACCACTAACTCAGACCATGCCTTTCCCCCTCTTCTTTCCCTCCTGACTTCCTTCCTCAAACACATAATAACAACCTAAGGTGCCTTAATAGCCATGAGGCACACCTTGGGGTGGTTTTTGGTTAGAACCAATCTATTCATTCATGTTTTTCATCCTACCTGTTTCTCAACAAACTCTCAGAACTCAGATTATGTACCCTGTACCACTCTTACCACATTTCTAATCCAGCCAGTATTATATTATTTAAATGGATTAGTGCCTACCTTTGTTATTATTTCATACAATTTCTCTCTCCCTAACCAGTCCTCTGCATCTTGAACAAAATATCCTCTCCTCTCTCCTAGTCTATGTGGGAACAGAGCCAAAGTTTGCTGCCTGGGGCCCCCTAAGGGTCAGGCATGTCTTCTATTAATAGAGCACTAGCTGCAAGACCTGTCCCATCCGGCTGCTCACCCTGCCTTTACTTGTCTTAACCTGGAATTTCTTCTCTCTCTGTCCTTGTTGGGCAACTTTCCTGCTGGCCTTTTAAAGGAGAGAGCTCCCTAGTACCACTCTCAACCAGCCCCACTACGTCAAAACCAGTTCCCAAAGACAGCTGTGCAGAGATAGGAGCAAACTATCATCATAAAAATAGATTTTATTATAAAAAGTATAATACAGTTTCACAGTTATATTTAAAAATACTTGAAAGTAAAAGAAAAAAAGGTAACATTTATTCCTAACCCCATCACTTAGAGACACTAATTAGAACACCTCAAGGTTTGTCCTGTTACATATCTTTCCACAAAATTAGACCAATATGAAAGCAGTTTTTTTTTCACCCATATGTTTCATTTGCCAACACATCAAGATTTATTTATTGATTTCAATGATCTTCTTTAACATAACTTCAGATAGTTACAAAGCATCACACACACCATATACAGGAACTAGAAATTATTTAACTTGTCCCTTCTTGGTTAATAAGCCACTTTTGTTAATATAAATTATCATTCTGTAAATATTTTTATTCATGTTTATACACCTTCCAATGACTTCCTGGGTATATATTTTAAAGGCTTTTATGCATATTAAAAAGCTGCCATCCCCCAAATTCATACTTTCCTCTGCAGTATAGAAAAGTTCTGTGCAGACCCTCATAGGATATTCTCAAACCGTGGAACTTTCAAATTTCATTGGTGAAGATGGCATCTTCTTTTCATTTGAATTCTATTTATTCTTCTATGAATTGCCTTTCAAGGTTTTCTGCAAATTTTGTATTTTTTTCTTTTTTATACTAGGGATTGACTGAGGGGCACTCAACCTTTGAGCCACACCCCCAGCCCTATTATGTATTTTATTTAGAGACAGGGTCTCACTGAGTTGTTTAGTGCCTCACTGTTGCTGAGGCTGGCTTGGAACTCATGATCCTCCTGTCTCAGCCTCCCTAGCTTTTTTTTTTGGGGGGGGGGGATGCTGAGGATTGAACCCAGGACCTTGGGCATGTGAGGCAAGTACTCTACCAACTGAGCTACATATCCCTAGCCCCATTTTTTGTATTTATAACAGAGACTAAGTTGGCTGTTTCCACTGGATCACCAAGATATAAGAAATGCTTTCAGAGTGAGAGGAGATGAAGATCTGGAAAATTCCATGAGGAGAACCAGTGAGACGACCTCCTGTTGAGGCTGCTCTAGTTCTGTGGGGAAGATGGGACCAGATTTTCTTGTACAGAACTGTGCAGCAACTGACCTCCCTAGACCTCCACAGGAGTGGGTGGTGCTTACCCCTTGCCTCAAGTCTGGTGGGACGGGCGTCCATTGACCATATGGACTGTGTGTGTCTGTTCCCTGCAGTTAGACAATGTCTGACTCCTGCCCCTGGAGTCAGCGGAGGTGAGGCAGGCTGGTCAGCTGCCCTGGGAGTGGAGCAAGCCCAGGAATGTTAGTATAGCCCTGCCAAGGCCTGGACCTCAGGCTCTACCCAGGCTGAACATATGAGTTTCCTGTGGATCAGAGGTAGAGGTGGCCCATTCAGGAGGGAGAAACAGATTGGAGTCATTGAAAATCTCACCCCAAAGGATTTCTGTCATAGGCAGAATAATGATCTCACTTGCAAAAGAAATGTCTGGCGCTATTTTAGTCAGCTTCTTCACTACTGTGACTAAAATACCCAACTAGAACAATTGTAGAGGAGTAAAAGTTTACTTGGGAGCTCATAGTTTCAGAAGTCTCAGTCCATACACAGCAGGCTCCATTCCTTGGGGCTTCAGGTGAGGCTGAACATCATGGCGGAAGGGTGTATTAGAGGGAATCAGCTCACGTGATAATCAGAAAGCAGAGAGAGAGGCTTCACTTATCAGGTATAAAATATACACCTCAAAACCATAGCCCCAATGCCCTACCTCCTCTAGCCACACCCTACCCACATTCAGTTACAACTGAATTAATCTTATTAGGTGATTATTTCACTGATTAGGTTAAGGCTCTTGTAACCCAATCATTTCTTCTCTGAACCTTCTGGCATTGTCTCACACATGAGTTGCTGGGGGACATCTCACACCCAAACTACAACAGCACCCTATCCCTAGAACCTGTGAGTATATTTCTTTACCTGGCAAAAAGAACTTTCCAGATGCCATTAAGACAAGGATCTCAAGTTGGGAGTATTACCCTGGATCATCTGGATGCCTCAGCGTCACAAGGGTCCTTATAAGATGGAAAAGGGAGGCAGAAACATCAGAGTCAAATAAGGAGATATTCCCATAACTTCATTTTTATACACATTTAATATTATACATCACATAGTACATCTTTACAAATTTCTTCTATTAGACTGTATTTTATTAGTACTTTCTGGTGTTCTCTAAATCTTCCTTTTAAATATGTAACATTATATGTTTGATTCAGGGTTACAATATCTGAGCTTGTCAATGGTATGTATTTTTTAAATTTGTTTGTTTTCTTCTGTTTTCTGCATCACTTCCTCTGAGTTCCTTCTTCCTGATTGCTCATTTTGCTGCCTGGCTTTCATTTTAGAGACTTTCCTCAAATGTGTAGTACTCCTAGTGTGTGCTCATATTTAACACTGAGGCACTTATCCACTGATGATAGGACTGTACCTGTCTGGGGCTTCACCATTTTTTTTTAAGGTAGCCACCATCCATTTCATTGGAGGAAACACCCAAACTTACTAGCAGCAGTCATTTTTTTCTTGAGTGATTGTTTCCCCAGAGAATTTTCCATTTGCCTCTCTGGCAGTGGTGGAGGGGGATGCACCTCTCAACTAGCATTTTTAGAACAGGTGGAGATAGAGGCTGGAGGGTGCACCATTCAATGGAAAACACCTGTTAATCTCCAGTTATGAGATGTGGCTGACGTTTCTGAGTTTTGAGATTAGAGTTCATCTCTCACAAATTCTCGTCAGTAGAAGACCTTTTCCTCCTGAGGTGAAAGAGGGGAAATTCTTTCTCTACACAGACTTGTAACTGGTGGTCTTAATTTTAGGTGTACTCCTCACCTCCATCTTCTGAGTAGCACACATCCCATGTGCTTCAGCAGCACAAAAGCTGGCTTCCCCCAGGCTTTCTCTCTTTGCAGGTCTGGGCTTCCTTGTTCTCTGCCCTCTGGGTCAGTATCCCCCTCCCACTTGCTTTTCATCTTCCAGCATTTTCCACCATCTCTTATCTGCCCTGATCTCTTTTTCTGTTTCCTTTGTTCTTGTCGATTTTTCCTTTAAAAATAAAAACAGAACTTTATCAGTTCAAAGGAGCTTTGACACAAAGTAGAGATAAAATATTGTATCTAATCTACCATGTTTAAACAGAAATTGGGATTTCTCTACATAACAACATTATCTTCTTATCCAATGTACTGAATAGTGATGAGCAAGATTTCTCACTCCCTCTTGAGCCAACGTACAATGTTAGCTGTGGAGTTTGCTTCTGGGCCCTGGAAGGGAGGTTTTTCTAAGCGTTAGAAGACACATGGTCCCACATCTCCAGATTCTGGAGAAATGGCTGTTAGCTACCCCATTTTATAGTTTCGGGTTGTTTTATAAAATTTGATGAATAAAATAGTTCACTTCTAATCACTTATTTCATCTCACTAACCTTCATTTTGTGAGTATTTAAGAAGAATTACTAATATACTTAGGGCGTGTGGAAAGAAGACTAAGAAAATCTAACAAGACACATGTAGTTAAAAATACAGTGCTAAGAAGTTAAAACCCATTTCAGTTTAATCTCATCTACAAGTACAGTAATAACTGGTCTGTTATTTTGCTGAGGTTAACATAATAAAGTATCCCCAGTTGGGCAGTTTAAAAAATGGAAATCCCAGCGACTTGGGAGGCTGAGGTAGGAGGATTACAAGTTCAAAGCCAGCCTCAGCAATTTGGCAAGGCCCTAAGCAACCCTGTCTCAAAATAAAAAAATAAAAAGGGCTGGAGATGTGGCTCAGTGGTTAAGCACCTTTTGATCCCTGGATTCAATCTCTGGTACCAAAAAAAAAAAAAAAAAAAAAAAAGAAAGAAATATATTGTTACAGTTATGGAGAGTACAAGTCCAAAATCAAGGTGTAAGCAAGACCCTGTTTCCTCTTATGGTACCAGGGGAGGATATGTTCTAGGTTTTCCCTCTGGCTTCTGGTAGTATCTTGGCTTGTGTCAGCTGAGTTCCATCTTCAAATGTCATTCTCCCTGTGGGTATATCTGTCTCTTCAATGGGAGTTCTTCTTATAAGGGCACCAGTCATATGGGACAGGGTCCTACTCCAGTATGACCTCATTTTAACTAACTACAACTGAAACAACCCTATTTCCAAATAAGGTCACATTCCAAGGTACTGGGTGTTAGGACTTCACTATATTAATTTTAG